AACAGTAATACTAATACTACTACTACTAGTACTACTACTACTACTACTACTACTAATAATAATAATAATAATAATAATAATAATAATAATAATAACAATAATAATAGTGATAATAATAGCAATAATAATAACAATAATAATAATAATAGTAATAACTATAATAATAGAAAAATTGCAGCAAAAATAAAGTTGTAGAAAAGTTACTTTAAACGCCAAAATATAGCTCCGGCAAAATTTTTAATAACAGCAAAGCGATTTTGTGTTAGTGATAATAATAATAATAATGATAATAATAATAATGATGATGCTGATGATGATGCTAATGGTGGTGATAATGATGATGATGATGATAGTGGTGCGGATGAATAAATTCTCCAAATGTATGGTAAATGTGGTTGGACGGATAGTTGATCTGGATAGGTGCAGCAGGGAACGATAAAATGAGTGACATGCGATTACGACGAAACGAAACGAACAATTTTGGTATTTCTTGGTGAATTTCGATTTATCTTAATAGACCACCTTACATTTTACTCCTTTCTCCTATTTATCGTGTCTACTGCTCCTATCGATGAGCGATAACGGTAAGACATCAGAGGAAAAGAAATAGAAATTCTGCAAAAATGAAAAAATTTTGATAATATTTGCTCATACAGTTACTCTTACTTATATCCATCGATTGTCTAATTTCATCATGTTGATGACGTTGATAATGATAACGACAATGATGATGATAATGATGATGATAAAATACGAATAATAGGAGTAAATAAGGAAAAGTAATAAAGGTTATTGAATAAGTTGAATCATGTATAACAAATGTGAAGCAATCATTTTCTCTGTTTTTTTTGCAATACAATTTGTAATAGCTAATTCGTGATCAACAATTTTAAATGTCATTTAAAAAGTTGTAGATCTACAAGGATTTGTAATCTTTATCAGAATGAAAAGATGATGAAGGAAAAGAAAGGAAGATATTTGAGAGAAAAGATTAGGAAAAAGTTTAATGCGTAAGTGTGATTGAAATGAGCTTACGCAGATATCTAGATATCCAGTTGTCCTTTATCAGGATAACCGGTTCATTTTATCCTGTTATTGAATTGCTATATATCTTGCGTTTACATTTCGATTTTCGACATTTAGCAATCGTAAGAAAAGAATAGATTAAAATCATCGATCGGGCGAATAGAAGTGAAGATTTAGGAAATATTTATTGTAACAAATCGAAGCTATTTTTATTTTATAAAACAATACAGTGCTGATAATTAATCCGACATTGTATAAAAGCTGGCGCCTTAAGCATTCCAATTCATTATTTTTTCTTAAGTTGTATAGTTATGTTTAATTGCGTATACAACGAATACTCTTATCAGGCATCATAAAATGTGGTAAGATTAGTTTTTTCCTACAGTTCTTGTTCTATTTCATTTTTTTGGCCTAAATTTTAATTTATTACTTATCATAATTATATATTTCCATCCTTTTCCCTCAACAAATCATCCCCTAAATGAAATTTATTGGCATATTTTACGCTTATCATACTGAGCAAATGCTAAGTTCAAATAATTGTCAGAAAAGCGAAAAATTCTTGTAAAACTTAATAATTTTATTGTGTGAATTTCTGCTCGGAAATAAAGCATTCACAATTTTCTTATTCCTTAAAATGTAAAACATAAAAATTATTGCCTTCATTAAATTTGTAGAAATTTTTATTCTTTATAATGCATAATGATGAATTTTGAAGCATTAAAATCCAGAAGACCTTATCTTTTTTTACGGAAAAATTGATTTTTAATATGTACTCCTTCTACGAGGTCCGAAATTCATTGTTATTTTTTTGCAATTCTTCCATTTGAATTCTAAATAAAATTTATATTAAATCATTCATAATCACTTGCAACTCTAATGAAATAATATTTGTTGAATCGATCACTTGTCTTAAAATCATGCAAAAATTTGGCATAAGAAGGAGTTTTTAATGTAAAATGGTCATTTTTTTATTAAATTACTGTCAATAAACCATTTTCAACTGCTCGACTTTTTTCATACTTAAACAATTCAAATGTCATACGAATTATTAAAGTGCTTTAAATTCGAACAAAATCAAATATCAGCGTTTTCGGCTGCTATTTTAGCTCATATTTACACATTCTGAAATACCTAAAATACATCGATTGTAGTGTACCGTCATGAGATGTGTGAAAAAGATTTTTCTCTCCGAACATTTAACAAGCATGTCTAACGCGAGTTAATGCTAAAAGATGCGAGTTATCGATTTATTTGTAAAACTTTCACCTTTCGTTTATTATGCAAAGTTTATGATTTTCTTGTAAACTTCATGAAAATCTAACAACACGTTAATGATGAAGTGGCAATCAGGTTTACAGCATTAATTATTTGTTAAAATTGATTAAAAAAAAAGGAATTTGTACGATTAAAAACAAATCCATTTTCTGCATTTCCAAGTATTCTTCTTTTTTAGCATTTAAGAAATACACCTATTTGTTCTGATTTCTTTAAAAATTCTCAAATCGTCAATGAAGAAAAAGCTTTTCATGTCAGAATAAAAAATTCCGATTTGTTGGCAGAACTGTATTTAAAATGTTCGCCTATGATGTCCATTTGTATCAACCAAAAACACCATTCTATCTGATCCTCCCTTTTTTCAAAAATTGCCAAACGATATCCCTTTTCCTCCTTCGAAAAAAAGAAGGATGCAAATATCTATTAAATATTTAAAAATATTCTCTCCAGTAGTACAATTTGAATGAATTTACAAAATTAATGTGATAGTTCTTCAAGTAAATCTCTCATCTTTTCCCTCAGCAGTTTTAGGAAAATAGAGATTGCTATCAGGAGAGCAATGACAACAAATGAAGAAAAAAAAAAAAAACTAAAATTTCATGTCTGACAATAATCTTTAATATCGTTTCTAAATTCAAAAACTGATTCCTGTAAGAGCGAAAGTGACAAGAATTGAAATTTTTAGTGTTAGTTCAGAAAAGAAATTGTTATTTAATCGAAATTAATCTCTGCAAAGATTTTATTAAAATCCGAGATAAACGAGAATTAAAATAAGTAACATAGAGGAAGTCTTTTTTTTTGAAAAAAGGAAAGTAAGCCGAAAAATTGGCGGTTCAATTAACATATTAAGAACAAAAGAAGGTCAGAAGTATGGATGGATGAGAAAGCTGAAAAACAACAAAAATAAGAGAATTAATGATAAACATAAATAGGAGATTGTTTAACAGAAAATGTTTTTGCATTTTGAGGAAACAAATGAAATTATTTTCTTTGTTAATAAAAGATTTTAGAAAATATTCATACTAAAACAACTTGAAAACACGTTAAAATAATATTTATAGGGCAGATTTTTTACTAAAATACACCAGTTGTAATTAAAACAGATACTAGCAATAACTGCTAATCCTATCACCAGTTAATTCGACATATTTGCGTGCCGGAAGCAGAATTACTTATGCATCCGAAGAAAATCTGTTTGATTTTCAACTCCATTCAATAGCCAGATTATTTTAGATAATATCAACCAAAGCTTTTATTCCTGCCTAAATTGTTTAATTCTTTCTTTTTTAAACATTTGTTATGTTTCCCTAAGTTAATCATCTTTTATCATTGGTTTGTCAGTATGACTCATTTTTGCAATAGCTGTACTTTAAAAATTAATATCATAATTTATAATATCACTTTGCAATTACAGTATCATAATATGCTTAAACATTTGCAAATTTCAAACGTGATCTTACTTATTATAACAATTTCATAATTATATTATTGTCAATCAATGAATTAAAGATACTGAAAAAATAGAATAAATGAGGTACTTATTGCCGTGACAGTTAAAAGAAAAGGAATTAAGAAAGTGAGGGAGATTGTTATTGTTCGTTGTAGAAACAGTCAAGTTTTAAAGGAATGATTTACAGTGTACCGGTTCGTTGTGTGTTCGAAATGCACAACAGATTATCCTTTATTATCGTTTGGATACCAAATACAGTAAAAATAGGTTCAAATAGTTCCAATTACAATAGAATGACTTCCAGGGTAAAACCAGTAGAATAATAAGAGATTTTGTAAGGATTAGTAGACTGGGAGAAATAGATGGCGAGTGTTTTTGTGAACCTGAGTGTCGACAGATGGGTTTTTGGCAACAATGAATGGATCTTAGGATTCCTTATGTTTATATAAGGAATGTGTAAGGAGAAAGAAATGCGATGCTTAACAAATATCTAGAGATAAACATGTTGGATATAAACATGTTTATAAGATTAGATATCTTTACAGTATGCTCATCCATGTTTATATTCGTTGTCATCCAAATATGCGCAAATCTCAACATCAGACAAAGCTCTACATTTTTTTTTTTACATGCAAACTATTTGCATTTTCAGACGATTTAAAGATTAGATAGCTGATTCGTGACCTTATGCATGAGAGAAAAAACAAATGTAAATGCAAACTATTTGAATGAATAATTTCATGATGCTATTTCGGTTTTTATGACACTTATTCCGGGAAATAAATTTGATTTATTTGTTTTAAAAAATTTGATAAAAATATGTAATAAAAACCAAGCAAAAATGTTACAAAATAAAAGGAGAAAGAATAATATAGAAGTTGGAAAAAAATATAAGTTAGAAAAGGAATTCGAAAAATGAAAACGAAAAAATGGTAGAAGGGATATTCGAAGATAAAATTATCGTCCTTCTCCACACAATCAAAAAATTTAGAAAAAAATGATGATAATGAAATTGATGAGAAAAATTCTTTATACTGTTATCCATCAAATATCTTTTTGTATTTTCTGGCCTAAAATACAATCAATCTTTTTGAGTTCTGATTATCGAAGGTGACTGCAACTTTGACAAAACTAAGAAAATAGCCAGGTTAACTCAGAACTGTATTAGGAAACAGATTCAATATCAAATGGATCCAACCAAATTCGTCCTTTTTTTGGTTCCGCTGATGAGAAGCATACTCAGAGAGATCTCTTAGCTATTCACGTATGAATCTCAATAGTTTGTCGCAAAACATGGTTAACGAAGAATTGCAACTCGCTGAAACTTTCCGCTTCACGACTAGTTGGTGCGTAACATTTATAAAATTTGTATGTTTGACCACTTGAGAGAGCAATATAAGAGCATTCCATGCACAAAAATGTTAGTAAAACGAGTAATAGTTGGAAGAAAAGATTGAGAATTCGACCAGCTTTCTATCACCAATGGAAAAGTCGGATGGAATCTGTTTGTCGCAGGTTGCTTACTCTTCAATCTCAACATTTTCTAAAAAAGCATTGCATTTGAATTCTTAGCGAAATACTGATTGTCTTTTTCAGTTCCGGACAAAAATTTCCGATTCATCGTCTTATAGGATTGCAATTTCATATCAAAATACAAAAGACACAAATAATAGAAAACGACGTAAATTATACAACTTTCTCTGAATGGAAAATTATACAATCGACGGTACAGCTTATTTTGGGATGCTTCTATTTCTGGCACAAATACAAATTTATGTAATTCAATGAAAGACTTCCAAAGACACGAAATAATCTGTTTTCCAGTGCTTCCACTGACACGAAATATTCTGTCAATCCCAATTTCTGTAGAAAAACCGTTTGTGACAATTCATAAAAGGCTTCCAGTGACACAAAATATTTTGTTAATCCCAATTTGCATAAAAAAACTGTATGTGACAGTATTATTTACTTTTTTGCATAATCTGTATGAAATGCTTTCCGTTTTACAATGCCTTGCTATTCAATGCTAAATGGAAAACAGATTAATTTCGATTTTTCCCGAACCTTTCTGATCTTTGACTGATTCGACCTTTTCATTTTAAAAAGTTAATATTTTCGTTCAGAATTCATTCTACTGTCACAAATTGTTTCTCTCCTCACCAAATTCGTTTCTACAAATTTCTCTACTCATTTAATAGTATTGATTAATCATTGTAGCTAAAACAAAAAAGTAATTGTGAAACTTATCCTTCACTGAAGCAACCGAATTTGGGTCTAAATCTCATACGTA